TTTTTTTTTTTTTTTTTTTTTTAAGGCTTGTCAAGTGAAGCAGTGGAGGAGAAACAGAGAAATCTGTAACTGATTGTGATCAATTAGTTGTAAACGCCACTGCACTCAGACCAACTGAGCCTTGCATTTTCATAACTGCATTCATTCAGAGGCTGGAGATACAGCAGTGAACAAGTAGTGACCATGAAATTTATTTAGATTTTAGTGGACAGACAAATAAGTAAACAAAATATCAGATAGTAGTAACTACTGTGTAACTATAACTCAAATGGGGTGATAAGAGAGAGGGACTGAGTTACTCAGATTGAGTGATCAGGAAAAGTCTGATGTGCAGATCAGGGGTAAGAACATTCCAAGCAGGGGGAGTAGCTAGTACACAAAGGTAGGAATGAGTTTGCTGGGCTCAAGGAAACAATATGCTGGGAGCATAGTGTGCAAGGGGGAGAATGGTACAGAATGAGGTTTGAGGGGCAGACAGTGACCAGATCATGTAGCCTTTTAAAAATGCCAGCATAAGTTATTTGGATTAAGTGTGATGGGAAGCCATTTGAAAGTTTTAAACAAGTTACTTATTGAAAAAAAAATTATTCTCTTCTTCTTCTGCTTCCTTTCCATAACAGTCTGGTTCTTAAAGCCATTAGGTGGGGCAGAGCAAGATAGGCATCCACAGTTGTGGCAAGGGAGTGGGAGTGGGGAGCCATATGGCCCAATGTGAGTGTCTCAGAGCCCAAGAATTGTGAGGAGGAGGAGGGTGTCCATACAGGAGGGGAGACACAGAGTTGGGAGTCAGAGCCAAGCAGTATGAAGAGGATGTCCATGCAGGGAACCAGCCTGTCATGGTAGTAGAACCCCAAGCAGGGTGAGGAGGATGTCCATGTATGTTTATGGGGATAGGGAGGGCACAGGAAGAATGGCTCAGAATGGGGAGTCAGAGCCAAAGCAAGAAAAGTGGGCATCTTCAGAGGGGAGGGCTGACATCAGAGATGGGAGATTCGTAACATACAAAGAGATTGGTCAAATAAATATAATGAGAAAATTAGGAGCCAAGTTTCTCACTGTTAGAGAAAGGAGTTATGAATATAGAAGGAGAGCAAAATCAAATGAACTCTGATATTGGGCCAGAATTAGATACAACAGTATGAACTCAGGTTTTCATATATAGATGCAGAAATAAATATCATTGTAAATATGTGTGTGTGTGTGTATACACATATATGGGGTATAAATATATGTTATGTATAATATACATATGTAGGAATATAATATACATATATTCCCTAACTCTTTTCACTAAGAGGACCTGAGAACAGCAATATCCCAACAGCAACAAGCACACCAAGGGTTCGTCTTCTAAATACTATTTTCCACAAAAAGAATAAGGGCTCCTTGGAGGGCTGAATCAAGGAAGTTATCAGATGGTCCTGGAGCATCTTATTGTGCCAGACAGTAAGGACAAGCTCAAAGAAAAATAGGTACATGCCAGAAGAACACAGAGGTCAACTAGAATGGAAGGAGAACAGTTCAAATGGGAAACAGTTTGCACAT